GAGGGAGTATATCACCTGTATAAAAGAGGACTCTTGGCAAATGCTCCGAAGGAAAATATATATTTTAAACATAGCTCCCCACTCGGTTTTGCAGCCAAGGTATGATATACATAATCTTCCATAAAGCAAACAATCAGTATTAGAAACCTTAGACGTGCAAGGTATACAACATCATGAGAAATGACAAACCATGCAAATCAATAAAATATGCAAACCTGAGAGTAGCCTGGACTCCTCCTCAGTCAAACTATCTCCATTAGAATATGCAGTAAATCTAGCATTAGTGTATTTGCGAACTAGGTCTGGACCCCATGGGCCTAAGCCTCTGCATTATTAATTGTGACCAATATTAGCACTCTTCAGATGAATAAGGCCATGTAAACAAAATTCTTTCAGAACTATTACTCCAGTTCAAGCTTCAATCCAGGAAAGAATCCCGGACTGCTACAGGGAGCAACTTTGAGCCAAAAACAAGTAAATAAGCAAGACAGGGTATCAAATATAAAAAATATGAGTAGCATCAACGCTTCACAACAGTAAAGATTCACAGGCATCAATATAAAAAATAATTAAATTTAGCATATGCAACAACCATCTGTGGAGTCAAACTTTTTTATCAAATCACTGATAAATACTAAAAAGAAATGACTCTCGCACTAAGTAACTCTTTTGGTTACTGAAAACATAGACTAGGAGAGGAGGGAGAGAGAGTGAAACAAGAGAAAGATCAGAAGCCACAAGGTTACCCTTACTAATATAAGGCATTTTTCAGGAAAACCATGATCTTTTCTTTTCATAAGTAAAGAAAAATTGAAAGCCTCATGTGTTGCATAAAAATCCAAACGCACAATGAATGCCTGAAATTACAGATAATTATGATAAATCAAAGAAAGAAAAAGCTGGTTCCTTGATTTCCTTTTAACACATTAAGATAAAAAGTTACCCCGTTAATACCGATAAAACATCCTTTTAAGGGGAACAAAGAAAAGGTTTGACAGCCAAGTTGAGAACATGGAATAAAAGTGAAGATGCCACATCAAGACCAAATAATACAAAGAAATGAGATTCTACCTCTTTTCTGCTTTTTGAAACGATGACTTGCATTACGCGGGATACAGAGGGTTCAGAAGAAATGGTATCTTACCTTCTTTTTTTTTTGAATAGATGTTTTGTGTTGCTTATAATATAGAGGGTCATATAGCTAACGGAGTGACGCCAACTAATTTCGGATTGAGGCCTGATTAATTGATTGATGTCTTAAATTGGGTCATTTTTTGGGAATGTGAAACTCTACCATTCAAGAAAAGGTGCCCAACTAAACTAAGAAGAAGCAAACCATCGTGCCACAGTAGTTAAGTTTAGGTAGTTAAGAAACCATGAATATATTGGCATTAAAAAACCCAAGAATATATCTAATCCATATTCCAGTATCTTATATGGGTACCCCAGGTCTTTTACCATGCTTTCCTCGAAAATCATTTACACCCAGACCCAAGTACAGCATTTGCAACCAAAAAACGATATGCTAGCCATATGAAAATATCAGTGGAAGAATGGGACTAAAGGCGAGATGATCATAAGCAGCAGTATGCATACATCTTAGAATTAATTATGTACGTTGAGTTCATGTAAAAGCTGGCACTAGTCTAACGACTACAGTGAAAAGAAGGAACCAATGAGCACAATCAGACATGAAAGTATCACCGAAAATGTATGTATTATGCAGTAAATTTACTTGCAAAAACAATGTTCAGCAGCATATTAGACTAGAAGTAGAAGCAAAGGTTTAAAAAAGCATTTACCTGACAAGTTTCATCGGGGTAAAATTAGACTCCCACAGATGATTCAAGACGGCTCCCTTCCATGTTGCTCTAAACTGGGTAAGCCGCTCGGACATATGTTCAATCTCTGATGTAAATCCAGCTGGTCCTACCAGAATCAACTGCTGAACATGCTCAGGATGCTACAAGAGCAATACACTTGTCAATCAGCAGTAAAATATACGTGCCCATATACATTATACAGAAAAATTCACAGTTCGATAAAAACTAATCACCTTGAGAGCATATTTTGAAGCGACATACCCTCCAAAAGAGTGCCCAAGCAAAATAAAGTTGCTAAGGTTTTTGGCTTTGCGCCACTCCTCAAAGGAATCAACAAACCAATCTTCAGTCTCTGCATTAATGTTTTACAGACAAAAAGGAGCATCTTTCAGATCAAGATTATTCAGTACATAAGCAGCATATATGTTATCTTGCATCAACTACTCCAATAATTGAACCAAATTTTGGGTGATTACTATAGATTTTATTCATCAGTCAAGTGTGTAATTGAACAAAAACACTCAACTTTGGAATCAAGCATAAGACTGACCTTCAGTACTTCTGCATGTGAAGTCAGGCCTGCTTGAACCACCCCAGCTGCATCAGACATTTAGCCAGTTAGAAAACTACCACTTTGCTCATTTGCTTCTTTTATTTTTCATTCTTCATAAAAGTGACATCTATTGGAAGACCACCTCCACTCTCTTGTTCTCCTTTAAGACTTATAACCGGAGCTCTTAAAGCAACTAAAGAAAGCAAAAGGAAGTAAAGAATGCTTGGATTAGACCATGTAGTCTCAACAAACTTCTCAAGCAGAATAAATTAGTGTCAACACAAAAGCATCCTATTTTATAAATTGCAGAGAGCCTTTGTGTGATACAAATATAAATAGTTTCTACGTAGAAAGCACTGAATCTTTCTGCTCTTTCAAGTCAGATAGCTCCTTGGATAGTTGTGTTGCAATCTATTCAGTTTGAGTGCAGCAACATGCTGTGTGCCTCTTTAACTACTAATAAATACAATTTGGCTACTACATCTTTGTATCACCCCATAATAACATCAAGTCGGAGATTTCAGTTGAAGAATTATTTGCAGTTACAACTAGGTGAATATGCAAACCGATTAAACAAAACACACTACGATCCACCCAAAGGGATCTAATTTCAGATATTAGTATTTAGCACGATGAGTAAATATCTTCATCCGAAGAAGAATTGAATGCTTGGTCAAGAGCATTTAGTGTCAAACTAACTGACCCAAATGTGCCTAAGTACACATTTCTGTGCAATAAACTATTATTAGCAGATAATTTTCAAATCCAGTAAGTCTCAGTTATGGCAACTTGCCAAACAACTAGAACATCTTGAATCGAAACAAAAATCATTAAATTGACTCTTCTATATCACCTGGCACATATGGTGTTAACACCACTAGAGCATGTTTCAATAGGGAGGAAAGCATCAGTATAACATTACGAATTTGCACCCAAATTCACATAATATATACTCACCCAAGCTGATCAATAGCAATAACTTTGAAATGCCTCGCAAGGGCATCAAAATTCCGAAAGAAGAAACCTTGAGAGGCACCATATCCGTGGACCATAACAAGAGTAGGAGAACCCTCTTTGCTATCAAAAGTAACAGTATTGATAAATCTTGGTTCATTGCTCACCGATCGAAACCATCTAACTTTTGAACCTGGTGGACCAGACCCAATACTGACCTGCTCTTGAGTATAAGGAGTCCTAGCATTAAAGAAAATGTACAAAATCAAAATGAGCCTCTGAGCCTCAATAACCGCAAAGTTGCAGTCTTTATCGACTGAAGCAAACATTTGACAAAAATACAAAACCAAGGAAGTCTCAAACTTTTGTTATAGGCGAAAGAATAGTTCTCTTTATGGTCACTCCATGTTGCCTGATGAAAAATACAACGAAAAACTTGCACATCACTAATTCTAAAAGCATCCCAAGGTTTCAACTTGCCAAACCAATGAATGCAGTAGCATATAAATCCATTTACCTGGACAACTATTCCTTTTAGTACGATAGGGTAACACATCCAATCGATCTAGTTACAGGGTTGACTAGTTAGAAAATGCTTCACAGCAGTATGAAGACAGTCTAACTATAATAAATACTCAAAGTAACGAAGAGCGAAATGGATAAAAATGAGTTTTTTTCGACATAGTAGTGGGAAAACTAGCTTTCGTGCACGTTGACTACATTCCACAGCCTACCAGATGTAGGTGCCAGTAAACCTATAGGTTGAAGTATACCAGCCCATCCTATAGGTTGAAGTATACCAGCCCACACTAAGCGTCGTAGCATGAATGATGTCAAGGGTTTTCTCCTAAATGTCAACCACTCAGCTGTCTGTTTATAAGCAAATAAATTTTATATAGCCGACCGAACTAATTCATAATTGAGATAAAATTGATTAGCTGTTCCTTAATTAGAAAAGGGCGAAAAGGCTCGAGAGAACAACTAATTGTATGCGAATGCTTAGATGAAAGTAATTGCCGCATAGACATGAAGAAAATCCGCAGAGTCGGACAATAAGTAAGAAAAAACGGAGATAAATTACCTAACAAGAGAAAGAAGGCGGAAAAAGGGAGATAAATTACCTAACAAGAGAAAGAAGACGGTTTTCGGCAGCGATGATATGATCAGTAGATGTAGGTATCCAACGAAGAAGGGAGGGCCAAAAAGACCACCGTTTTGCTCCGGCAGTTGTGGTTGTAGATGAATTGAGTTCTTCTGCCATTTTCACCAATGAATTCGACCACCTCCTGAACCCTATGCTCATGCAATTGATAATTTATTGAGATTTATTTTCTCTATTAGTCGCTGGAAATTAGCAGTTCAATTTCAAGTCTCTAAAATAAACAGGTACTTGGCTAGAGTGTCCCCCAAGTTCTGTAAGCATCCATGTGCCTTTCGAAGAAACCGAAGCTGATACTCTCTCTCTCCGAGCTTTCAATTTAATTATAATTAGTTTAATCTTTTTGCCGTTTGACAACCGAATATCAAATTGGATTTTAATTTTAAAGCCGTCCGCCAAAGCAGGAATGATGGCGGTGCTCCGACCATTAAATCATTTACAGCGACTCAAATACGTAGGCGGTGACGTGCAGGGAGCGACTCCAACCGCATTTTGCAACCTTGGTTATTTCAAGTTGGATTTTTTATTATGGTGTAAATTGTCCGAGAAAATATTTTTAAATTTTTAATATTTAATTGGTTTAAATATTTTTTTTATAGACTTATTTTTCTATAACGACTTTCCTATCAAAAGAAAGGAAAATATTTTTTAAAACTCTTTCTCAACCTTTTTTATCCCCACCTCTATCACCTCCACCCCTGCCCCTCCTCCTGCATCCAAACCTCCCACCCCCTAACATCGTCATTGCCACTCCAGCCTCTATAACCTAACCTATCACCAGAGCGGATCCAAGATTTAAATTTTATAGGTTCAATATTTAAAGTTTTTAGTAGGGGTGCACAAACCGAACCGAAAAATCGCACCAAACCGAAAAGTCAAACCAAACCGATTAAAAAACTCGATTTGGTTTGGTTTGATTTGGTTTGGTATTGAGTAAAAATATCTGAACCAACCCGACATATAAATATATAATTTTTGTATATACGTTTAAGATTTTATATAGAATTTTCTTTAAAAAAGAAATGTCTAGAAATATTTGGGATTCTCTTACGGGATATAAATTTTAATAGAATATGAAGTACTCCATATTTATTAACCTTAAATAATGGGTTGTATGATCACTTTTTTATCAATTGTTACTGAAATGCGTTTATCTCTTTATTCTTCGATATTCATATCTGTCATGACCCAAAACTCCCTCCGAAAAATATCGTGACGGCACCTAGTCTCTACGACTAGGTAAGCCTAACAAATTGCGGAAATAACAAAAAAAATGAAAGTAAAACTTAACAGCTAACTGCAGCAAATAACTAAATAACTAGTAACAATGCCGCTCGGCATGTACAATAACCAATACTCTAGAATTACACAGTCTTTCCAAAACCCGAAATATCATAAGTCACAAGCTACAGAAGGAAACTAGTATCTCTATACACCAGAGTCTAATAAAAAAAAGTACATAAGGTAATTGACATAGGAGAGAATAGAGGGGGACTCTGAGGTCTGCGGACGCGGCAGATATACCTTGAAGTCTCCAAACTGTCACTGCTCACTGATGACGTGGCTGATAATAAGCACCTGGATCTGCACACGTTTTGTGTGCAGAAGAGTAGCATGAGTACACTATAACGATATCCCGTAAGTGCCAAGCCTAACCTCGGTCGAGTAGTGACGAGGTCAGGTCAAGGCCCATTGGTATATAACAATTAAAGCAGGAGAATGTAGCAATACAATAAGAGACTGGGATTTAACAAAAAAGAAAAACACAGCAAAATAGCAGTATTACACACAGGACTAAATTACAGGGGATCTCCCGAGATACCGTCTCATAGTCCCAAAGTAAATATGCAAAGAGATCTCCCGAGGTACCGTCTCGTAGTCTCAAAAGTAAATATGCAGGGAGAACTCCCGAGGTACCGCATATACAGGGAGAACTCCCGAGGTACCGCATCGTAATCTCAAAAGTAAATATGCAGGGAGAACACCCGAGGCACCGCCTCGTAGTCTCAAAAGAAAACACACAGCTCAAACCGATAAATACAATAGTTAACAGCAAGAATTCTACAGTTAAGACTCATAAAGATCAAGGAGAAGTAGGGAATCAACTAGGCATGCTGCACAGAGTTCAAATAAGCAGTTAAAGCACATAGACATGCGATATTAGGCTAAACAGGGTAACTACACATGCTGGCATAACTCAATTAAGATGAAAACAGGTTACTACTCAGTAAAAGTCGGATTTTACAACAAATGGCCCATGTACTGTCACGACCCAAAATCCAACTAGTAGTGATGGCACCTAACCCAACCCGTTAGGTAAGCCAATTACCAACTATCCAATTTTAATAATAATTATTAAAGCAATTTAAGTGAATAAAGGTCTTAATCGTGTACAATCTCCAAGAACTGGTAGTACAAATCATGAGCTTTTAAGAATAGAGTATACAAAGCGAAAATAAAATAAATACATAGTCTGTTTGAATAATACATAAACAGAGCTTTTATAAACCTAAGGCTACTCTGAATAAGAGGCAGCTATAACAGGAACGCAGGTACATCTTCAAGTCCCGCAACCATCGAGTATAGCAACAACAACAGCCAACATCTGCACGCAATGTGCAGAAGTATAGTATCAATACAACCGACTCCATGTACTGAGCAAGTAACAAACCTAGCCGTAGGTTGAAAGTAGTGACGAGCTTCCACCAAGGTCGGGTCCAAGACCAATAGTCCATAACAATCCATTACAACATAAAGCAAATAATACCAGAAAGTAACTCAGGGATAAAATACTCAGCCAAATCATGATTTCAAAAATAGTAGTTCTTTCTTTCTGATACATTAGTGAAAACCCAAATCGTTTGCCGGAGTTGCCAAAAATATGAATAGTTTGAAAACAATAAATTTCTCCCAAAATCTTGTCAATAATAAATAAGATGTTTCATTTTCCTTCCGGATAACCCGTGTAAAAATAAATGCATCACTATGCCCATCTGTCAAAAATGTGTGAAAAATCATGAATGATGTGATGCAGTACAGCACGAGGAAATACATCTTTATGCTTGTATGTCATGTGTACATGCCAATAAGATGCAACTCAATGATAAAATCATAAACAGCCCCTCAGGCATACCTCACAATCACTCTTGCCACTCGGGCATACCTCACAATCACTCATGCCGCCCAGTCGCTCAGCACTCGCACTCAGTAAGTACTTGCACTCACTGGGGGTGTGTACAGACTTCAGAGGGGCTCCTTCAGCCCAAGCGCTAATAATCTGCACGGACAAGACGTGCTATAATTATAAAGTATGTTGCAGGCGGGCATCCCCAATCCACACGCATCCTTACAATCAGGCCCTCGGCCGATATCAAACATGTTGCGGCGTACAGCCCGATCCCATAAACATGCAACATGCTGCGGCGTGCATCCCGATCCCATAAATATGCAACATAAATCAGGCCACCGGCCTCACTCAGTCATAAACCTCTCAAGCCACTCGGGTATTTCAGTAAAACAGGGCATTCAGCCCAAAACATTTATATGCATCAAAAATAGAGTCATAAAACTGAGTTATGATATGCAATGAAATGAATATGACTTAGTATGAATTTTTAATTTAACACAATAATTCACAAAAATATGACCTATGTGGGTCCCAATAATACTGCACATAGTCTCAACATGATTTTTAATATGCTTTTCAACTCAATTTCTTTAACACATAAAACCGCATGGAAAATACCAAGGTTATTTAACTATAAAATTCCACATAAACAATTATGTCACAATTTTTATAGTGCACGCCCATACGCCCGTCACCTAGTACGTGCGTCACCTCCCAACAATTCACAAAATACATATATTCAGGGTTCATACCCTCAACTCCAAGATTAGAAGAGTTACTTACCTTAAACAAGCCAAATCCAATTTCGAACAAGCTAAGCAATACTCCAGAAATTCTACTATGCGTGTAACAACTTCCAAACGGCTCGAATCTAGTCACAATTAATTTTATTCAGCCCAAAAATTTTATAGGAATTAATTCCATAAAAATACTAATATTTCCACAAAATCCGAAATTACGCCCCAAAAATCACATGTGGGGCCCACGTCAAGGAATTCGATGAAAGTTACAAAATATTAAAGCTCATTCAACAACGAGTCCAACCATATAAATTTTACTCAAATCCGACATCAACTCGACCCTCAAATCTCCAAATTAAACCAAGAGGGTTTTCACAGTTTTTTCAACTTAATTCACCAATTTAATGATAAAAACAACCATGGATTCGGGTAATTTAACCAATATTGAGTTAAAAATACTTACCCCGTTGTTTCCTCTGAAAATCTCCCAAAAATCGCCTAAATGCGAGCTCCGAATTGTTAAAAATGGAAAATGGGACGAAGTCCCATTTTCTGAACTTAAACTTTCTGTCCAGACCTCTCTTCTTCGCGAACGCGACAGGTCCCTCGCGTTCGCAAAGCACAAAATGTGCTTCCCAACATTTGCTCTTCGCGAACGCGAGACACTGTTCGCGAACGCGATGCTTTACGGAGCCCTTCTTCGCGAACGCGAGCTCCCCTTCGCGAACGCGAAGGCAAAAACCCAGCTTCTCTTCGCGAACGCGAGATCCCCTCGCGAACGCGAAGAGTAAATCCTGCTTGCCATAAATTCCTCTTCGCGAACGCGAGGGCCCACTCGCGAACGCAAAAGAGAAAATCCCAAAAATACAGCAACAGATATCAGCAATCTCACCAAGGCCAAAAATGATCCGTTAACCATTCAAAACTCACCCGAGCCCCTCAGGACCTCAACCAAATATACACCAACAAGTCCTAAAATATCATACGGACTTAGTCGAACCCTCAAATCACCTCAAACAACGCTAAAACCATGAATTACACCCCAATTCAAACCTAATGAACTTTGAAATATCTAGTTTCTACAAACGACTCCGGAACCTATCAATTCACATCCAATTGTCCTAAAATTTTGCACACAAGTCATAAACGACATAACGAAGCTATTCCAATTTCCAGAATCGGATTCCGACCTCGATATCAAAAAGTCAACCCCCCGGTCAAATTTCCCAAAAATTTAACTTTCGGCATTTCAAGCCTAATTCCACTACGGACCTCCAAATAATTTTTCGGACACGCTCCTAAGTTCAAAATCACCATACGGAGCTATTGGAATCATCAGAATTAAATTCTGAGGTCGTTTACACATAAGTCGACATCCGGTCACTATTTTAACTTAAGCTTTAAACCTTGGAACTAAGTGTTCCAATTCAATCTAAAACCTCACCGGACCCGAACCAATTGCCCCGGCAAGTCACACAACAACTGTAAAGCCCAATTTGAGCAGTAAATAGGGAAACAGGGTTGTAATACTCAAAATAACCGGTCGAGTCGTTACATGTACGTACTCGTCACCTTACGTACACGG